GATATCAAATTTTGGTTAACAGATCCTTAAGCAGCACATTCAAGAGTAAGTGGCTAAAAACTGTTTTTAGCCACTTACCTCATTACCATTATAAAACCTGTCATTGCCGAATGACTAAGGAGAGGTCTCGCTCTAACCATTTTCAGTTAGCATAGTCACTAGTTTGCCTTTCCTTAGCATCTTATTTCTTATATTTCTTGCAAACTCGACTGGAGAGAGAGAACGTCAGCTAGGTGGTATGTAGGAACGGGCCACACATCACCACTAAGCAGAGTTCACGTCACCATCAATAAATACTGTGTTTGGTTGACCATCACCCGCTATGTGGCCGATACAAATGGTAAACGGGTGGAGGATGCAGGAATGTAAACTTGTAAAGCATTTTAAGTGTATGCCTGTTAATGATATGTCGTGCAGTAGAGAATCGCAAGTCTGAGTTAAGCAAGCGAGAGACGACTTTTACCATTGAGGTAACGGTGTAGTAATGAAAGGGAGGGCCCTGGATAACGGACATGAAGGATCGGGAACTGGGAATGAGAGTTGGATCACCTACGTACCGGTACAGTACATAAAGTAATACTGGATTATGCTGGCGAGGACAAGGTAGGGGTTTGGTGTAGCTGCCACCCCCCTCCCTCACTGTATTTTATATAAGGATGGACAAGGCTTTGGAAACTCGAGCAATTCAGATGGAGAAAATTTCTTTATTTAATGTGGTAATGAATACAGAAAACATTTCCTTCTTAGAATCGTGCAAAATCTGAGATATATGTAACGGAAGAGACTCATTTAACATACAAAATACAGGGTTAATTGACAAAATGAGGAAAAAATAATCTCACAAAAAATACATATAAAAAATAAGGTCTAATCAGCAAACATTGAACAGTTTGTGGGAAAATATTATATGGAGACAGAGACGAGTGGGAGAATAGCCAACACAGCTCCCACACTCCTCGACTCGGGAATTAATGACTCGTATTATCCACGTAAACAACATATAGTTTATCACGGGTTAAGACACTCCCACACTCAGGGGAGACGAGTTTAACTACTCACTCACACAAAAAAAAAAAAAACTCTCCCAAAACATACAGTACTCTCACAACACGTAAGCGCTGGCAACATCGAAATAGACGCAGGAAGGTATATATAGTACAGTAGGCGCCGTGGGTAGACAGTCCCGTTGGGGGTCTCGTCCCATATTCCTACGTTAAAACCTCTCCTCCCGCCCCTATTAGAATATATGACATAAGCATTCTCTACTGTAGCCAAGACTAACGGAGACCAGAACTGTAGAGCAGTTTTCTCATTCCCGACTACTGAAAACAAGTAACTTTTTGCCTTGTGTTGGCCATCTAGTCTACTGCCTGCATCCACAAGGTTATTCAAAGGATTTCCTTGACTACATACAGACCTTTGTAAAGACATCCCGATATTTCTAAGTATTACCGTTCAATATAAATGCATCCAAATATATGTATATACAGCACGCCTTTGTAAATACTCAGAACTTTGTAAATAAATCAAGACCTTTATTAAAACACTGTTGTAAATTCATTCCTATCTTGTGAACATATTCAAACTTATTACCGAGTTATATGCTTACGAGTAGAAAATCATTTTCCGAAAGAGTCTCCAGTTAGCGTCTTGAGAGCACCTGTTGACAAGCTGGATGGAGACAGAACGAGTCTAACCATCCATGAGACGACAACATTCACCCGGGAACGTGTAAATGACATCAGGCGCAACGTGAGCGTCATTTATTCCCACACAGGAGGTTGTAGATGACTTACGGCAACTGCCAGAGCGTTAACATTACCCAGCGACTATTCATCCACCACCGATTGAATCCTAGTCTACGCAGTCGGCTATTCAGTAATTATTTTGAAGTTAATTAAGAAAAAACTAATTTCCTGATTCAATATATTTTTCCCTCTGGACAAAAAATAACGTAGAACCTATAAACAAAAATATAAATTACATAAGTATACAGATTAGCAGCTTATTGTTGTCTAATGTGACTGTGAGAACTAATTTCCGCCAGACTTACGGAGCATTAAATCTCACTAAACAAGTAGGGTAGTAAGCCATGACCTTTCGTTATAACAGGTCACACTCGCCTAAACAGCCCACAACACTCGGGAAAGTTCGACTGGTCACTAAGTCTTATTAGAATGACGCCCAAATAAAGTGTACTGTATGTGAGAAGTCAAAACAATAACGGGCAAAAAAAACAAAACAACTTCTATAATACGGAAGGTAATATTAAACTGGGTTCTAGAGTTAAAAGATCAATGCGTGTTATACCCACATCTAAGATTAACAAAGGTTGGGTTGAAATTATGATTTTTCCGATGGTTTTTTCATGTGTTTTGAACGATTCTAACTTTCATTTCAAATAGGTGGATGACATGAACGATAATTTTACCGTGATTTATGCCTCATTTTACACTGGAACTGATACACTTGATAAGACATTGTGATTCTGATTTCAAGTGGAATACATACAGATGAATAAAATGACGTGAAACTGACCTCTTACGGGGCAACTTTCACACGCGAGATCAAAGGTCATTAAATACTTTCACGGTCGTTACCTTAGTTAATTAATACAATACCTACCTGTGTAACTCATCATCTTCCCATATTCCTTGACTATCTACATAATGGGTCTACCTTCCTATCTTATCTATGTACGGGTAAGCTGTTTGCATGCGAATGTTCCTACATAAGTACACACACTTTCGTCATCAGTAATAACAACGACCATGGCCCAAAAGAAACTATCCAGGTTGACTGTGTTGAAAATAAAGAAGAGGAAATGTGTAACAGACCAGAGGGCGTGGCCAGAGGGTAGTGTGAGTGAGTGTGGTATGAAAGTAATCCAACTATTGATTTTTGAAGAAACATTAACAGCTAAAAGTATAAACCAACCAAAACACTGAAATGTTAAATCATCCACAGTGGCCAACACCATCTCGTCTATGTATCAAGCTAAGATACAACTGGGCTAAATAATTTCTTCTTAAGAGACGAAACTACCCAACCAATATTAAATCAAGATCGTTGGGTCTGGTCTGGGTTGGTTTCGTATACTGTAGATTAAATGACTTCGTACTGTAGTTTCACATCCGTCGACATACGAGACAGTAGGCTAATTAGATAAGAACCATTAATATACACTTTACTGCCCATACTTTTCCTTGACCCTCGCCACACTTCTATCTTTCTTAGACGAATATCGTTACTGAAGATCCCGCCGAAATTTTTCAATAAATATATATACTTTATTATGTACTATCATTTTCTATTATGATTTTAATAATAATAACTACATATTATCCAAACAATAGGCTGTATAATCACATTCATCCGACCTTTTTCAGGCATATGTCAACAAGCGCTCATGGCTGTGTGTGAACGTCAGAGGGAGTTCAGGGAATAGGAAACACGTATGAGCCGCAAGGTTTCACCCCACTCGGCCGGTCCGGACACTAGGCTCACGACAGGCAGACCTTCACCCCGCCACCACCCCTGATTACTGCCATTCATGTACCTTTTTCACTCTATAAACCACTTGTCTCACCTTACACCGAACTACACTATAAATCATTATTTCTTTCTGCCTTTGATGCGGATTGTTTCACATCTCTGGAAAGTTTTGTGGTGAATGTTCAAGTTAACAAGGTTAGTGCGAGGTCCTGTCTTGACCACCCTCACGCCAGTACCAAGAAGCCCGACTTGACGACACTAAATACCTGATAATCAAGGAGTGTGGGAGCTGCTATACTTACTAGTGTGTGTCCCTGTAGGATCTTGACCACTTTTTCTTGTAATTAGCCAAGAAACGGCTGTAAATTAATGTATTGATCAAAATACAATCCACAATACAGGTAAATGTACTGCCTCACCGTAAGACCACTGGTGTGAAACTGAAGTTAGAAGCACAACGTGACGTCAGGACGATATGTGCGCATGGGGGCTGCGCAGACAGATTACTGCAAACTCGCACAAGATTAATGTTTACATTATATAATACTCTCATCTTAAAACAGTACTCACATTTACTGAACATTAAAGAAACATGTATCTAACAAATAACTAAATAATAACTAGATTAAAAGTTTACTACATTACCACCACAGAAATTATTTGCGAGTTGGTAACTATTCACAGTGGAAACCTTGAAAGAGATTTCCAGAGGTCGCTGGCGTGCATTTTCTTCGGGTAATCCACTTTTACAAATCCGTATCACTTACATACTGTATTCAAATTACCTTAATATTTTGTTTTATATGGACAGTTTTAACTTAATATAAACTATTATTTGTATCACATAAAAAACATAGGAATGCTAAACGAAATATTATAAGAATTACTCATATCCGGTTTCCTTTGTACGGTAAAACGAGCAGCTTCTCCGAGACTCTGAATCAGCTCTATCTAGAGAGTTCTATATCTCACAGTTTGTTAATAGTTGATGGACTAGTATAATTACTATCCTTGTTACGGGTTTAATGACTTTAGTTATCGAAGCATAGAAATAACATTTTAACGTGAATGAACAACTTAAGTTTCTGTTTAGGTCTAGGCTGGACGTTTAGATATTCTTCAACTCACAATCTGAGGTCAGATTACAGCCCAGTATTATGGGAACTGTGATTATATGGATATTGTTATGGTTAAAATCACGTACTAATTATGATGTCTGGCCTAAATTGCAGTGATCAGACAGTCTCAATACATAAATTCGACAACAAATGATAAAGTTTACGTAAAGTTAACAAATCAGGCACAATAACCTACAGGCTTGTAGTATGGTGGAGACGTAGAATTGTGGATACACAGATTTTTTCAATGTGTGTGGTGGCGACTGGGGGAGGGGGGTAGGCCTCTCGTAGTCATCAAAATGAAGTAGCTTTACAAAATTATGATAAAGAGCGAGTGTCTTTTACCTTTGTTCTGCTGTAAATAGGACGGCGACAGCTTCAAAAACATTACGTGGTCTTCGTTTAGCTTAAGGGCGGTGCGACATAAAGAACGTTTTGGTAATATGTGGGTAACTATTTTTTTTTACGAGGATTAGCCCACCCGGACACAGGTCATCGACCCACAACGGGCCCTAGAAAGCGAAAAAATAAGAGTAAAAAGAATTTAAAAATAAAAAAGAAACATTATATTAATCTACACCACGAAGATGCTGGAAAACCAGCTTTTTGAAGAGAGACAGATTGTATGTGTATGGAAACGCAGAAGAAGGCAGAGCATTCCACAGCTTGGCTGTGTGAGGAAACAAGGAGGCACTATAACGGGTTATTCTAGTGTGATCGACATCCACAGAGAAACGGTGGCACCGCGGGCAAGACGTGTGTTATGAGCCCACGGCCTTGCCGGCGGTACACAGGATGCGAAATCCACCGAACATTGCCCGTTAAATTACCTGTAAAAGAGAGAGAGTGAAGCAACATTGTGGGGAAGAGAAAGGGAAGAAAGATCAACTAAAGAAGGAGAGTTAATAAGACGAAATGCCTTTGATTCCACCCTATCTAACAGTTGGCCAATAGAAGAGCCACCCCAGATATGAGAGCAGTACTCCAAGTTAGGACGAATGAATCCCTTATAAACTTGAAGCAACTGCTCAGGAGTGAAGTAGCTACGGCATCTGTACAGCATTCCCAGCTTTCGGGAGGCAGCTTTAATTTGTGCGACATGGTTAAAAAATAATAATAATAAATATGAACATTACATACTTTAATTTAATCCTAATTGGTGAGTATCAAAGAAAATGCAAATTAAAAATACAATAGAAATATTTCAATATATGACGAAGCATAATTAAATATACTGTACGAATATAAATGAAAACAAAGGTGCTTTTGAAGAACTATATGTAATTGTCTATTGTTTTGTTATTTGTTGTTCACTGTTTTCTTTGATATCGCAAAAAGAAAATAAATTAGACACTATTTACAACAATTTTCAATGTCTCATAGATTAAATACATTTTTTTAATAGTTACCCACATAATACCAAAACGTCCTTTATGGTGTAGCACCCCCTATAGTGTAGATGGCGCGTCAATCGGAGGCCACGAAGAAAATAATAGTTTAAAGAGGAGTTCAGTATCCTTCCTCTATAACCCTTGGGACAAACGCAGTTACTATAATAGTGTTGGCGCAGGAGTGGAATATTGACGAGGGGAACCGCAGGACCAATTAATGATGCAAGTCGGAGGAACATGTAAAAACAGTTTCATAGGACTTAGGTGAAGCTTCACATGTATGTCGAGCAGTCTGGCCTGTTACAGACGGCGCCAATGACTGTGTGGTGATGCGCTTAATACATTTTTTATGTTGGACTTACACAATCAGAAAGTTTACACAGGAGTATCGGTAGGAGTATAAATTTTGGTTTAAAGGACAGATACAGTAAAGCCCACATGGTTAAATTATATTGATAAATGTTATGTCTTGACGCGGATAACAATAGAAATACATTATAATTATCATCTAATCATTTACACAGAAAGGCAATATCAACTTATCGAACACAAACAACACACAGCTAAGCTAAACACTTACCTTCACACTAGACTCCTCTGTACAATATACTTGATGTTTATATTTCCGTAAATCCTTCTGAAGTGAACTAAAAAAAAGTTATCACACGACTGAATTATGTTTGAGCGTGTCTGAAAACTTATCGCGGCTAGTTGCTCAACCTAGAGGGTGATAGTTCATTGACTGTCGTCGCCCTAAGACACGTAAACTTTCACCGTATACCTCACTGGCTTTATCCTTGTCGTCCTCAGCTCTTCACCAGTCTGCTTGTGTCTCTACTCTACAAGGAAGTCATCCCTGACACCGTAAAGCAACACGTAGGTGGTGTAGCCAGTCTTCTCTTACCGCCGCCCCACCCTTGACAGAGCACGATGCCAGACTGATCTTGCCCGTACAGTCGTACACTTGCACAGCTGCACCAGACATTACACTCACACACACCTGCGCCACACACCTGCGTCACTGTTCCTTTGTATACATAACACCGATGAGTATCACGTCGGAAGCGATTCGTTGCTTGTTTGTCTACTTAGCTTTCATATGACTGACTATAAATGTCGATCTATCGGTTGAAAGTTTACTGCTTCAAGAAAGTTGGACTGTTTCTGATGTTAATCTATTAATGTATTGGAAATATCTCTAGACCTCATGATTGGTTCCCTCTGGCAATGGTCATTAATTGAACACAATTCTTTTGTTTGTCGCTCACAACGTTCAGAGGCCAATTGGGTTGATTAGAACATATGAGATAAGATATCGATCAACTGCTTCCCTTGGGACGGAGTCTCATTGAAATAGTGTAAACTTTTTGCATAGAGAACCACATAACAGTCTTTTGATGCACAGCAGAGTCCCACTTCCTCCAACGAAATCTTCCAGCGGTTTTCAACGCTTTTCAAAAATACTTTTGGAATTTCTATGATAATATCACTTGCAAAATGCACCTTAACTGAACTCAGGAATCGATGGACTACCACTTGGCGTTGTTGCTGTCAAAATATTTCATTGACTTTGGCAGCTCAAAGAACATTTCTCTTGATTGATTAACTAGGATTCAAGTTGCGTTGATACGGTATCTCGTCTGTGGACGAGGTTGTAGCAGCTAGTACAATATTATGAAGGCAACTGAAAAGCGAAATATCCGAAGGAAAGGTTGAAGAACATTGTATATACCTTCCTGTAGTTATCACCTACTGAGTCAAGTGAGAGTTGGAGGGATTTTGAGGCATTGCTACAAATAACAAGGCCATACATTACAAAACACGACAAATATACAGTACATACACATTAAGCTGACAGCGATATTACGATACCTGGTAACCGAATATTCACATCATAGTTTGATGTATCTGTTTAAACTATCTGTGCCAACAATATCTAAAATGATCGCATAAGTTTGTAGATATTTGGTGGACGCATTTAAAGCATATGTTCCTGTTAGTTATTTATTAGCGTGAACCCCATTTAGGTGTGGGTACATAATATGACACAGAGGCACTTAGGTCCTGTTACTCGCCTAAACATGAATAAAATAATTTATCATGCAAATATATATGGGATTATTATACAGTACAGTACTTATATTTTGTGGTAGAATTCTAAATAAAGGCATTTAAAAAATAAGTGTAAATGCATATTATATAAACATGTCCCATATGTTTCTATGCTCCAAATACTTTTCAGGTAAATATACTGTATGACAGGGGTACTCAATTACTATAAGTGAAGGTCCAATCAGACAAATTTTCTAGATGGCTAAGGTCAGGATGAGATTTCATTTAATATGAGGCAATAACATACAAATGAAGAGTATACATTTCAGTTTATTTCCATCTACATGCATTTATAATCTCAAAATCTGTTGACAGTGCAAATGAATTAAAGAAATGAAGAAGAGTCCATTCATCAAAAGAAGCCATAAAAGTAACCATCCATCCATCTTACTCAAGAGGCACCCTGGTGGGGGGTGAATAAAAGAAAGAAAATAATTATCTGTAACACAATAAAACACTGAAGGTAATGTATGTATTTTTGTGGTCAAAAGTTATCATACATTCTACTCTTGCTGAAGAAGGTGGAATGATGAACTAGCCAAACATTGTGAGGATATGTATTGAGACTTTGTGAATATGAGGAACTAGCTGGAAACACCATCTGTGTCCAGAATGTGACGGAATCACAGTTATCAGCCTCTTCTTTCAAGGCCACATTTTCTTGAAGATCAATTAGCTCCATTTGGATTGATGCTGCACAGTGCACATACACATTTAAAAGTCTGTTTTGCTTCTTCCGAAAACTCGGGAGACGTTTATGACCAAGAAGGGGTTCTGAGAGAACAGCAGTAGCTGTCTTCTAAGAGAGATATCATTAAAATGAGTCTTGAAATAATCACTAAGCTTCTCGATGAACTGAACATGCATATGGTTATATTTCCTTCTTTTGGTGTGCTCCAAAAGTTTGGGGAAGTGGAGAAGTTCTCCCTGGAGATCGTGCTTGAAAAGTTCCAGTTTCTTCTGGAAAGCTCGAACAGTTTATATCAAATCACACACTATGTCGTTTCCTCCTTGCAGCTTGACACTGAGAGCATAGAGATGAGATGTAATATCTGCCAAAAAATGCTACAATTTCCATTTTCTTTTCATCTTGCAAACACTCTGATAACTGGTTTGCCTTGGCACTCGCTCGGTCTTAGATGAAATTTTGTTTCTCTTTCCTAATGGCCCAAAATCATTCCAAAATCTTTCCCTTATTAAGCCATCTCACATTGTTGTGCAAGAGTAAATCATCATACCTGGCACTAACTTCTTCCTAAAAGCCACGAAGTTGTTCGCAGGAAGATGACATATACTGTAATTAAGATGTGTGCTGTATATTCATTTTATATCAGTCACAGCTGCCAGGACAGTTTTCTATGACTCAAGTTTGAACGAATGATGTATGCACTTTGCAATAATTAGTTGTTTCTTTAGCACTGGATGTGAATTATATTGGTTCTATGTAATTCCTAATATTCTGTAATCATATAATATTATGTACTTACTGTATATTAACAAGTTTTGAGTTAATAGTCTAATTGTGAAAGATGTATTGATGTTGACATTCTAGAGCTCTTTCTCGGGAGACAATGGGTGTGGTGTGTGGACGTGAAATCAGTAACGTGGCTATAATCGTATTTCATCCATTGTGTCTCCTATGTTTTGGTATCAGTTTGCTTACCAGTATTAAGGGTGAATGTTTGGTGATACTTTTGTGAATGGAGGGAGACCCATATTATGAAATTAAGGCAGATATGCTATTAAATTAGTTGGGTCACAGAACCATGCAGTATTATTTCCTGTACTCTTGTTTACTGCAAATACAATAAGTATTATTTGTAATAAGCTGGTGTTACTTTAAACCCTGATTACATGAGATAAGGAATAGTTTCCTTGGATGCATGCTCACAGTGTACTGTAGTTGAATGAAATTTTATCTTCAATTGCCAGCTGGAGGCAGCAAAGGATTGTCTACATGATTCTGGTCTGTTAACCACAGCTATTATTTCAGAACGTGAGTTTGATTAATAGGCCTGAAAGAGAAGGATTATTCAGTATGGCTGTGACTATTACAGTTAGATAATCAGTTTTCAGTATATACTGTATTGTACTATACTGTACTTGTTCACAAACTATGATATAATTCCTGCTTCTATCATTTCATCAAACATGTCAAGAAACCTTGGTTTAAGTAGACCATCACTTTTTTCGCACATTTTTAACAAAACCTTCTTCCGTTCTGAAGAGAATTTCTCTATATCATCCATATCTGCAAAGTCTGGCACGTCTTCGGCTTCACTTAATACAATGGGCACAAGAAACATCGAAACCAGAGCTCCATATATCATGTGGTCCTGGAGTTTTTGTTGAAGCTCTTCAGGAGTGAAGGGCACAGAAACATCCTCAGTCTTCAGAACACTGGTGAACGAGTCATAATATGCCTTCAAGAACACCTCTTTGTTCTGAATACGGTCAGGTCCATTAAAACTTGAGTATAAGAAATAGTTGAGATCCACAGCAGGTGAGGCTTTGCGCATAGCTTGTAGATCCACCAACATTACTTCTACAGGAACCCCAGCTTCATCGTACCTGCAATGTATAGTTACCCTCATCAGTGTACATGTACCAGTGAGATGAAGTACAGTACAGTATACCACAATGGTGGATAGATGCACTGAGTGTGTTAATCTATATACTGTATATCAAAAGCTAAAAATATAATCTAATACTTTCTGGAAATATGATTCTTGATAAACAATGCTTGGAGACTTACAATAACTGTTTACATTTAACATTAAGAATAAACAAGAAAAGTTATGAGGTTGTTTGTATTAAGTTTGGAAATACAATTTTGAACTGAAGAATGATTTGAAAGAAAAAAGAAAACAGATGTTATAATAGTGATATGAATTATATATTGTCATTGAAAATAGAGTCAAAGTACAAAAACAGGGCAGTTACACACAATTAGCTACCGCACTGCAATAATAAGAGCATTACAGTTTTGAACAAAGTCATTATATGAATACATGTTTAGGACAATACCTATAAAATATCACTGAGAAGAGAAAACTCCATATCAAGACAAGATTATTTATTTTTGTATAAACAGATGAAGTACCTCTTAAAAATACCTTTGTCTTATAACTACAGCACCTGTACACAGAAAACTTATTACTAAGGCATACCTGAAGAGCACATTATTGTTCCAGCAGTCACCATGAAGAAGTACTCCTTCACCATCTTCACTGCGGAAACTCTGTATCATAATATCTATTGCAGTCTCCTTGATGCCTTCGATCCAACTTACCACACGTTCATAGTTTGGGACCTGAATTCATGATACCTTTTAAAAATCGTATTACATTAAAATACATTAATTTTAACTTGAATAAGTGGTCCCTCGGTTAACAAACAGTTGGATTAACGAAATCCTTACGACAAACATGTTTCGTTGTGAGCATCAGCTGATTAGCTGATGGGCTAGTCTGCCAATTCAGTAATCTGTTCTATGTTTACATTCATTTATTTAATATTTTTGCATTTTTTATATTAAAATTATTAATCATTTTAAAATTTAGTTAATATATTGATAATATATGCAGTACAGGGAACTAGTTTTTTGTGAGCCCATCAGCCCATTGACTCACCCACCAGGTGCCAGTTTGGCTTTGTTTACAGTGGAGTGAACATTGATTTTGTTGGTGCCTTTAATATTTGTGCATTTTTACATTAAAATTATTGGTCATTCTGAAATTTAGTTAACATATTGATAATATATAGCTCAGTGTAGTGTTGATTTAAATGAAATAATCTTGAATTACACCAAATGAACTAAAAATTTTATTGGTGAAATTACTGCATCAAGCATGGGTCCCCTGAAAGGTGATTTCTCCTCCATCCCCACTTCCTTCTCTTCCACCCCTACTTCTAATTCCCATCATTACCATCATCAACCAGGAACCTTCTACATACACACCTCAAAGTAAATGTACTTTACTGCATTTTTTTTACTTTGTATGTACTTTTCTGAGTTGGAACCAATTACCCAATATCCCATTGAAACAAAGGATACGGTTAACGAACGACTCTGTGAAACGAATTGTGTTCGTTAACCGAGGGACTATTTCTTCACTTTATATATTTCACAACGCTAAAGTTATATGATGTTTTATTGAATCCTTCCATCCACAATTTATCTTTTTTATGCCTTGTTTTAAATGTCCCAGATAATATTGGGCCAAAATTATAATAAAGAATGTCTCTGATTATCAGTGTAAAGATTTATTAGTAATTTCATATTTCTTTACCTTACAACAGAAATCGTTTCCTCTTCATTTGTCTAACCATCCTCTCTATTGATGCCATACAATATAATGCTATTATATCTTACTTTACTTTATCCTTTTCTCTGGTGATCAACCTGTTAGCCACTTGGTCAGTCAGTCATGTACTGTTGAGAAGTACTGGATCTGCACTGGTTCCAGAATGCACCTTAGTCAGTGTTGGTCAAACCTGGTCTTAAATTAACTGAACTGAAGCTATTATTATTTAACTGACTTCCTCGCTTAAACTATACCTGTATATAGTCTTTCTTTATAATATTTTATTCAGTATTACAGTACTATATTATGCTTTGGAGTAAGATTTTGAACTAGCTCTCTCGTTAGATCTGGAATATTGTGGTAGTTAAGTAATTATTAATATTTCTATTTATCTTGTTTAGTGGGGAAAGGATACTAGAGGCCCGTTTCACTCCTCCACAGTTACAGCGAGTTTTTATTCCTTGCCAAGCGTTAATACAAAGGAAACCAGAATATCCAGAGAAAATCGTGATGTTTGGTAGGTGCCATTGGAGACTATCCTTCTCACATCCGTCCAAGCACAGTGGTCAGAGGCAAGCACACTACCACTGCACCACCACCAGAGAAACATACTATACTCCTCTCTGTTCCCTTCTTTGCTGGTTTCTCGTTTGTAAATTCTTACAAAAGTCCGTGAACACTAAAGCCACATTGCTGCACAATCATTATAAATTTTATGTCTCTAATCCTTGGTATTCAATGGTCCTTGTTTACAATACTGATTTCTTGTATGTATATAGAGAAGGAAGAGAAAAATACTGACACAAATTTCATCAATAATACCTACCTTTTTCATTATCATCGCTGCCCCTTCTATTTGATTGCCAATCATGGTCTTGAACATTTTATTAAAATCTTCGTTTTCCATCCATTCATCAGTGAAACAGGTCCAGGTCTTGGTGAAGTCGTGACTTGGAAGTGTTTTATCCAGGAGTATGGAGGCAGCATGCAGCCTCCCTAACTCCTGCAACACCAGAGTGGCATGGACAGCATCCATGCCTCGTTGTCTGTCAAACATCCTGAAGCTCCTGGCACGTAGGTCCTCCATAAGCAATATTTCTTTGCCCTCATCGAAGCAGCAGTGAAAACACTTGGCAACTCTGTAAAGTCAAGTAGAACTTAATATTGACCTTTACGCTTTGAGTAGGACGATAATAATGCAATTAGTACAATATAAGAGTAATGTTTCACACAAAGGAAATGGTCATTGTATTCAAAGGTTTCAGAAATCACACTAAAGGGATTAACTCATAATACTATTGGGGTTAGAATATCTTATTCAATGGCCTTATTATCTTACTCAAGGAGGTTGGTATCATAATTTCAGTGTTATCATCACACTCAGGGAACATTCAATTAATCTGTCAGATTATCATTAAAATTTATTTCAATTTTTCAACTTACGAAATTTCACGATGTCCTATTTTTCTCATTATTTCATTTATTTTGGGAAGTATTTCACCAAGACACTTTCCTTCTCTAATAAAGATATCATTCATAAATGCTTTAAAAGGTGATGTTCCAAAATCACGGCCGATTTTAGCAACATATGTAGTTTCATGTTGGGCGCCCTCCAGTGTGTACTGGACAATAACGCTTGTCACTATGCAGGCATAGTTGTCACCCTTCTTGGTGAAGTCTTTGACCTGCCAGGACACCAGCTTGGCACCAGGGCCCTTATCAGCAGTAAGAGCAGCTTGGATCTTCTCATCTGTCACCTGGGAATAACTCGGGATGACTGCTTCCTCTGCCACTGTTAAAACAGGAAAATATATAACATCTGACATATTTATAGTACAGGTACTGTACAGTACACTATACTACTGTTTATATTTCATTACTTACTTTTTCAAACTATGCCGAAATTTTTAAAGAGGTAAGTATACTAAAAACCCATGACTCATAATTTTTATTTTACTTTTCAAAGAGTAAAGGAAATTTTTATAAAATTATAATATTATTGCCCTATAACACACTGTCAACCTGGGGCACTATACGACCCCTGGGACACTACACGATGACCCCTGGGACACCACATGACCCCTGGGACAGTACATGACCCCTGGGACACTACACATTGACCTCTGGGACAGTACATGACCCCTGGGACACTACACAATGACCCCTGGGACACTAAACGATGACCCCTGATGACCCCTGGGACACTACATGACCCCTGGGACACGACATAATGACCCCTGGGACACTAAACGATGACCCCTGGGGCACTACATGACCCCTGGGACACTACATGACCCCTGGGACACTACACATTGACCCCTGGGACACTACACATTGACCCCTGGGACACTACATGACCCCTGGGACACTACACAATGACCTCTGGGACACTACATAACCCCTGGGACACTACATAACCCCTGGGACACTGCATGACCTCTGGGACACTACATGACCTCTGGGACACTACGTGGATGACCCCTGGGACACTACACGGATCACCTCTGGGACACTACATGACCTCACGGACACTGCATGACCTCTGGAACATTACATGGATGACCTCTGGAACATTACATGGATGACCTCTGGAACATTACATGGATGACCTCTAGGACTCTACACGGATAACCTCTGGGACACACAATTCCCGGAATGAACCCGGAAGACTGTGGAAACTCTTGTTAATGATAGATCGTGTCCCAATTAACAGGAATCATTGGTGTACATTCTCATACATGGGCTGCTGGCTGAGTGGGTCAGTCAAATATAAGGATGGGTTTCATTATCAGGCTTTGGGCTGATTGCCACTTGTGAGTCACCAAGCAGTGAGGGAGGGATGTGTATAGCTAGTAGGCTGGTTCCCCCTTGTCATATACTGTAGTACAATGCAATAGATACAGATGAAGGCCTGATGTGTTTCCTGGACAACAGTAATAATATAATGATACTAATGTAATATGGTGGTAATAGTAATAATAATGTAACAATAATAAATAGTACTTTTTCAGTAAGATCACCATACAAATTTACAGTTGATTTCGCATTTATCAAGACAAATCAAATACTGTATACACACTGTGCTGGTGCCTGATATACAATTCTCTCGTACAAGCTAAACCAATGTGAACCTATACGACGATTTTACTTATTAATAACTATCTATCTATCTAGCTTAGGATCGTACTCAGTCATGCCAGAGTGAAAGTGTAGCTGATCGTGGGTGGGAAGGTAGTGGCACATAGTGTTATCAGGATGTAGTGATTACGTTATGTTAGGCGATCACTAACATTACAGTGATAAGATGCTGACAAGAGAACAGTCAAGGCTAGTCGTGTCGCCTCCGTATGGTGTTCTGGCCTCTGATATAAAGGTTTGTACAGATAGTTAAAGTAATGACCGAGACCCCAAAGTTCGGTGGGATAAGAAAAAAGAGAGCGGTAACCTCAGACGCTATGGTTAATGAGTCTTGGTTGTGTTGTTGGTCTTCGCGCGATTCACAGTCTTTTGGACGCCTGGGCTCTCGGTACTTCTTGGATTGGATTATTCTTCGTAAATTAATATGTAATAACACATCTTTCTACTTGTCTTTAAGTTACGATTATGTACCTTGAGAATCTACAGTAAATACTTATGTTCCTTAAGCAATTATAATCTTTCCTCTCTCCAACCCATTCGACCGCCAGCAGTCACAATAAAACCTCCCTCCTCCTTCCCTCCATCAGCTTGTCAGTCTCATATGACATCCTCATCTCCTTCTATCTGAAATAGAAACCCCCGTCCTTTGTGGTAGTAATAAAGTGATAGCAAAAAGTGGGCTAACCTAACCTAACCTAACCTAACCTAACCTTACCCAACCTAACCTAATCTAACCTACTAAGATAACCTAACCTTCTCTCCCCACCACCATACAAAGTTCAGCTCTCCTCCGACCTCTCACCACCATCACAACTAATTAAGATGATGAAAATGCCTAACCAGTGACGTCATTGTGCGGGTACGGAATAAGGGAGTGGGGGGGTAATGGGGGGTGGGAATGTGGGACAAGGGGCGCTTTTGTGTCTTCTTTTGTCTTTCTTGTTAATTTCTTTCGTTTTCTATTTTTTCTTTGCTTGTGTTTATGTCTTTTGGTGAAGTTATGACGTTAATGTACTCGGTTGTAGGTAAGGTAATCAGGGGCGGATCCAGGAATATCAAAACGAGGGCGGGGAGGTCCAAGAAGTTGTGGGTGGGGGAACATGGCCAGCGTAGCGAGCCCACCCAACTGGTTTTTTTTTGGGGCAGTCACCATGAGTTGTTGATCTCTACCAATTAATGTTTATGGGGCGGACCACTTACAAAGCCACAGCGGGTTCGACTCCAGAGGTGTTCTAACAAGGACAACAAAACGCTGTGGAATTTACTTGTCAGTTAAAGTGACTTGAACCTGAAATAAAGACAAACTAAGAAGATTTTTTTTTACGTTTCATACATTTATAGTTCAGCAGCTACAGCCTACAGAGTATTTGTTGGTAGTCTGGCTGACAACGTTGGGAGCGGAGTGTGAGGACAGCCCCCGAACCCTGGGTACCTCCGCCTGTCACTCATACTTACAGGGCAAGTCATTAACAGCTGACCTAAATCCTGCCACTGTGTGTCTCCAAAACCTGCAGCGTTTTATTCATTCCTCTACTACCATGACATAAGCTTCCCGCAGGAGCTATGTTTAATTGTGTTGTGAATTCGCACTATTATTGTACTCACGTTGATAAGCTCACGGGAGTACAGGGAGGAGGAGACCGGCAATATGATTAATGTTAGGAAATTCCAACTCCCGTAGAGAGTGGAATGCTTCAAGGCCGACAACACTTCCGACTAACAACACCTATATCTCGTATCCACCCACTCCTAGACCTAACTAGTATACTATACATTCAGTAATACCCGACTCCAACGAAGATAAATGTGAGCAGCCATAAATAAACCAACTTTCGCACTTGGTGGTACAACAAAGCGGTGTTAGATGGTTGCAGGGGTAACGCGCTTAATTCTCACACACACATATATATATATATATATATATATATATATATATATATATATATATATATATATATATATATATATATATATATATATATATATATATATATATATATGTCCTGGGTTCAAATCCTGGCCCGGGTCAGATATAAGAATGAGATTATCTGATGTGACTCTACCAAACATCACATGTGTCTCCCTAGGTACTCCTGTCTCCCTAGGTACTCCTGTGTCTCCCTAGGTACTCCTGTGTCTCCCTAGGTACTCCTGTGTCTCCCTAGGTACTCCTGTGTCCCCCTGTACTAACAATGGACAATAAAGTTCGTAACAAAGAACAGACCAACCGACTAAAGTGGTGAAATTATAAATAAAAATATCTTGTTTGAACAGTGAGAGCCTTAGTAGGTGGTAGGTAGTAGGCAGCTACCAAACAGGGAGGTACTACCGCCTGGGAAGATATTGAAAGCATAATGTACTATCGTCTCATGGTAGACACTGCTGCCATATGGCATCACAAAAATTGTGACCAAGTCCCAGGTTGCTGATCTGACTTTCTGCCTCACTTACACACAGTTGCAGGGTCTCAATTGTTTATCTTACCCTTGACAACACAACATACATAATGTACTGTGTATCGTTTCTAATTTTTTATTTATCGTTTTCGTTTTTTTATTTATTTATGGTTATAATTATTTTTAGTATTTTGTTATTAACTTTTATGAAGTATTATAATAATAATAATAATAATAGTTATTATTATTAATATTATATTTTCGCCCCCCCAGGCCCTGATGCGGGCCAATGACCTATGCCCGGGTGGGCTAATCCCCGTACAAAAAAATAATATTAAAAGTGAATTGTGTGGCACATTCGCGAAGAACAAAATCCTTTGACAAGCAATGGGTCCCAAGACTTTTGGTATGCTAAAGCTACCTCCAAATTAAGTGCTCTCAGGTTCCAGCAACATGGTAGGGTTGGTACCCGCGGCTTGGGTTGTTTACATTTTCAGGCATGAGTATTTAACAAGCACGGTTACTGGACGAACGACTTACATGACAGAGGGAGAAATGCCTTCCTATTGACTTGGTTAATGACAAGAAGGACGTTCTCAACGACAAATAAACAGATGTGGCCATGATCCACAAGAAAAACAAGCCTCGCAGGAAATAACAAGTGCATATAATTCTGCAGGAATGGGTCAGGTGCGAGGTTGGGAATCCGTGAATATTTTAGGAGGCAACATTTTGGGACACTACTCTGAATAGTGTTTATACCTGGAGCTGGCGGACACCCGTCCCACTACACGTCACAGCTCAAGGTTGAAGAAGCCATAAGTCAAGAAAATAGCACATGATGCAAGGGGTGCTCAATAAACTAGCCCCATCCCTGGGAAAATTGTAAAGAACCAATTTTAATTGTGAGGGTAAACTTTTTCGGAGTGAGAATTGTAAACTCGTGGAACAATCTGCTAGAGTGTTGTGACGGCACCGAATGTGAGCTCTTTCCAGACCAGACTTAACCAACATTGGCGCAGGTACAGATACATTTTGGAGCCAGTACCTGTCCAATACTTACTTACCAACAGTGTGCAACAGAGACGTGACCGACCGCGAAGAGGATGAGAGAAGATTAAAGATAACTTTTACGATTATTTACATAACGTAATACCACATTTAGGAAGTTATGCTGTTTAAACCACATTTCTTACTTGTTGGTGCGATGTATTAGTGCAGGAGAGTTTATCAGAGTATGATGGACCTGTCGCTGCGCTTTCACCAATTTCATCTGTCGAGTCGAAACACCGCCCGACTACTGTAGCCTCAGCGGGCGTCACGTGTGCGATCAAGTCACAACACTTAATGCAGTTCTCTGTTCTTCTATTTTGTATCTATTTCAAAAGCCTTTGTATTGTTAACCCATTTAGCTAAACTTCACTTCTACATATCTTCCACTAAAACGAAACATCTCCATTTAGTTACTTCAAATAGTGACGAGGATTATCACGTAGAAGGTTAGTAAACAATGAACGATATGTCGCCAGTGGTGGTATGTGGCATATTTTGTGTCAGTCGTCGTCATTCTCGATCTAATGTTCACATAAGTCTGATGGGATGAAAGAGGACAGATTGAACGGGTGAATATTGGTGTCATGGAGTTGATGGTGGTGTGATGGATGTAGGGTAGTGTGACGGTCGTGTGGTAAAGTGATTTGCTTGAGTGGAAACGTATTCTCGATATACAGGGGTTGTTGATTACAGGGTGACCGTGTGGCTTATCACCTCAAGATTCGACTCTCAGATTATTTCACCTGAAGATTAACCAACGTAAAGCTACACGGAGTGGACTGTGGACATGGTTAGGTTGGATAGGGTGATTAAGCTGGGAAAATCTTCAGGTGATCCCCTGTGTCTGTGATTGGCGAAAATGTGAATTTCTTGTGGAGGTTCAAGTGCCCTGACGCAGTGTGTGTGGGTGTGTTATAGAGTGACGGCTACTGACTAAAACGGACAAGATTTAAGTGATGGTTGTCTGATAATTTTGACCGGTATAACTGACTGTTGTTTGGTAGTGATGGGCGTATGGTAAGCGCAATGAGAGAATGAGATAAGCAGTAACCAGACAATTAGTTTGCCATGTGAAATGAATCAAGGGTTATCGCAGGACTTGGCAACGATGACCTCAATGTTACTTGAGTATCCGCGTAATGAAGATGAACCTCTTGCGACTCTGGCAACACTTTTTGTTGAGAAAGTTGAGACTTGTCAATCTATTCTTTAATTCCGGTTTATTTGTGTCTTGTATATGTTAATGTGGCATTTAAAGACTATTTTTATTTACCTTTACTAAAACTTATGAATGTGTGTGTGTGTGCGCGCGCGCTAGGCTTTCATTACTTCGTAACAGATTGTGTTTATGACCCAAATATTTTTTGAAGTACTCGCATCTTCTTCAGACGGTATATTAAATACAATTTTAACTCTTATATCAGAACAATGACACATTATTTGCAACGTCACCATGACTCGACCCTGTACGCCGTCACCATGACTCGGAATTAATAAAATACAGAAAACGGAATGGCGAGCGTGATGGGGAGACTCAAGTACTGGGGAGGTCATACAAGTCGATTAGTTGAGAGAGAGAGAGAAAGAGGAGGGGGGGACAGAAAGAGATAAGATAATTATCTTATTTATACAGGCCAAGATGTGGAGGCCAAGTAGGTTGCCTAACAGCCACCACTGTCTGTCACCCTCATGTTCTGGAGTCAGATTCTCAATGATTCCTACGTTAAATTTTCGGATCACCTGAAAATTAGACACCTCAGTTTATTTTACCTGAAGATTAACGACACCTTCCTCGGCTACTCTTGAAGCTGACAGAGATCTTTCTGTAGCTCTTCACAGCCCGTTTGGTTCTTAATTTCCCTGAATAACTTAGCATCATCGTCCACACGCCCGCTCGCTGTTTGGTTAACTAATGTTAGAAAAACAATTTGAAGAGCTGGACATACAAAGAGCCTTTTTGAAAAATAAAATTAAGTCAATGAAGTAAGTAATCCCTGCAAAGAAAGGAAAATGTTTTTTTTAATACATTTGCCCATAAATATTTTCTTTTTCACGACTTACCAATGAAAATAATGAATTTACAGGTGACTCCTCTACTAACATTCTCGTGATCATCTCTGATTCTTACCTTAACCATTTTAAACAATTTATGGGAGATTTAAAAGTAATAGTGGAGGAGACTGTTAGCCGTAGAAATTACTTATGGAATTCGTTCATATTTTCCACACATGTTGTTTACTTTGACTTTTGACGTTTATCCTCGGATGAGAGACAAAAACAATACGACAACGTTTCCCTTTAATTTTAAGTATTTTTTTCTCGGTTTTCTCTATTTTCAGTCGTATATCACCTGTTGTAGGTAGGACATGAAAGAAGGGGGTATTTGCACAGACCATAAACATGAAAAACCATGAAAGTGAAGCCTATAAAATTAAAACAAGACAACCAGCGTCAAAATAGTAAAAAAATAAAAAGCCTAACACTAACAGAATTGTACACCTGAGCGTGCAAGTTTTACAAAATAAACTGAGCCGAATTTTCAGGTGATCATCCATACAATCGTACACAAATCCTGGAGCTCAATAGTACGTTTCCATTCAATCAAGTTACATTTGACCACAAAACCGTCACACCACCATGCATCCATCACACTACCATAGACTTCACCATTGTCATCACACAAATATTCACCCGTTCAACCATCCCACCACGGCCTCTTATGTAGTCATAAACGAGTCATATAATGAAAAGTGTCTTCAACTGACAGAAAATGCCACCAAGGAATATAATGAAAGAAGTATGACTCTCTTGTTTTCCTTTGAGACCTCCGAATCGTGCGCCATCTAGGGAACAAGCGCTCCAAACTACGGGCAGTGGAAGCAAAACAACCATTTCTCCCATAATACTCATCAAAATGGTTGTTGCAGACAATGCTTGACTTATTCAGTTAATGCAAGCTTTACTCTTTCAGAAAGATTAAGTTCCAACAATTTATCCATTCTAGACACTTGTAATGGTAAATAACAACAAAAATACGTATATTTAGCCATGACATTTATTTATAAAAATTATATGATATTAATATATTGCAATATCAACTTACCTTTTAGTATCTATGGAGAAGAAATGAAACCTTACATGTTGGTCAATTTTCTTGTTTCTTTTCCGCACGCAACACCTGTCTGTAGTTGTTGTCACACGGGATGAGTCACACCCCTGACGAAAGCAAACCCCCGCAGACGACACACCAAGCGATCGCACTGTCATCTATCGCTCAAGCGTCGCATACTGAGGACTCTGATTTGTTTTGTTAGATTTCTTTGATTTACTGGTCAATTCCTGGGTAATCATTACGTCCAAAACAGTTGATTTATGTCTCCAGTGTTCTCTTCGGGTCTTCTTTTCTTCGTCTTCTTGTCACTTGGTTAATCGAAAGGGAAAACGCAACACCTTTTAGGGGAACGAGATACTGTTTTGTGGTCAACGATTATGAATGGGGTACTTGAAAGGTCAGTGTGATGTATGCTAGTATAAGACGGGTGAAGTAGTAACACACGCATGAGTTGTGTGCACCATTACCCTTGGTGTGCGCTACAAAATCTGGTGGAAATACAGTAATACAAGGAGGTGATTTGGGTCCTTTTTTGTTCTAAATTCTAATGGTTCCTGTTTTGTTTTTGTTTTTTACATTTTGGTTTGGGTTTGTAATTTCTATGTGTTTTCAATTGATTAGTCAACTACAGACCACTGTACTAAGGAAAAAAACCCAGATTCCTAGGTTGGTAAGATTACGTGGAGAGTTCCAAGGAATTGCCGTCTATAAATGCCACATACCACCACTGGCGAAATATCGTTCAAGTTTTGTTTTATAATCCGTGTCACTAATCAAATAAACTGTATAGGAACGTTTAATTACAACGGAAGATAATTCGAAGTAACGTTTGAATAAATGGGAAAACAATACAAAGGTTAATGACATAGATGTAAAAAAAAAAAGGTAGAAAGTATTGTACTTCTCAGTGGCCTCGCCGGACGTCGCGGACCGCTCGACTCACCATTCCCCACTCCACAAAGCCAGTGCTTAAGGGGTGTGGATGGTGAACGCTCAATAGGCTGAACACGGACCTGCACTCATAAATTACACTGACACAAGTGATTATTGTGATATAAACAGCATAACTTCTTAAATGTAGTAATACTTGATGTACTGAATAGAAACAACAAAGTTATCTCACGCAACTCTTATCCCAAGGTCGTTAAGTGTTACCCAAAACGTTGCCTTCAATAATACTCAGTTAAAATAAGAGCATTTTTATTTATCTTGTCCCTACTTGCGAACTTACTAGCCGTTTGTTCTTTATGATCTGTACTGTACAGGAGGAACCCGAAGTTTGAGGTCGGCGATTGAACCTAAGTGACAGAGTCAAGTGGGTTACCCGTACCACCATCACCGCTTTGTTGTACCACCAAGTGCGAAAGTTGGTTTATTTATGGCTGCTCACATTTATCTTCGTTGGAGTCGGGTATTACTGAATGTATAGTATACTAGTTAGGTCTAGGAGTGGGTGGATACGAGATATAGGTGTTGTTAGTCGGAAGTGTTGTCGGCCTTGAAGCATTCCACTCTCTACGGGAGTTGGAATTTCCTAACATTAATCATATTGCCGGTCTCCTCCTCCCTGTACTCCCGTGAGCTTATCAACGTGAGTACAACAATAGTGCGAATTCACAACACAATTAAACATAGCTCCTGCGGGAAACGTAAGTCATGAAAGTAGAGCAACGACTAAACTACATTAATTTAGACCGAATGTGAAAAGGACCTCGGTGTGTATGTCGACAATGAATATAAGTTCTCGGGCCATTGTGAGAAGATGAATCGCGCAACGAAACTAGTACAGTAGGTCTTATAACAAAGTCCGTCCCTCGTCACGACTTTCAAGAGTGAAATGCTTCCCTGATTGGAGTAGTGCTGTAAAGGGGGGATTGATAGCTGTTTCGTTTTTCAGTTTACTCTTATTCTTAGTTCTTTTATCTATAGCGGTTTAAGACATATTTTTCTAGTTATCTTTTCTTGTGTATATATTAATAATTTCATTTTCTAAGTCTTTCTGTCTCTACGTATCTCTTATACATCTTTGCTTATATTTTCGAAGTTCATTGACTAATGGGATGTTAGCTGGCAAACCCTTAATTGTTCCTATTTCATCTGGACTGAAGACAAACAATGCATCATGATCTATTACCACTTGCTTTAACTGTGTCCGCATGTGCCTATCCAAGTGTGGCCATGGCTGGGTCCTAATTAACTCCTTCAACTTATCCTGTCTAGTTTCTCCACGTTTCACTTGATCACAGTCTGGTACCATAGAATTTAATACATCTTAAACTCGTCTAATTTTCTCCATACCACTACAAATTACACATTGAACTGGGGGGGTCTCTTATAATCATGAGTCAGCATTAATGGGACTTTGTTAGGTCTTTTATCACTTTCTCTCTGTATGGCCAGGTGATGAGGTGAGCACAGACCGGTCTACCTTACCTAACTCTTCATAAATGTGTGAGATAGTTCCGAGATTATTCCCTTCATCATCATCATCAAAGTAACAAAATTCATCATCATTAACTACCTCCTATTCACCTAGAACAGCGCCAGGACTCAAACAAACTGGCTGCTTTGAAACATTACTCATAGGAACATAAACACAGGAATCATCTTAGTTTACCACACATAACAGGTTATTGCCACTTTGAGTATCAGATTTATGCACCGATGGTTGAAGCAACAACCTGATATGTGTGTGGTCATCCCATGTGATGTCCCGGGGGTCACCTATGGTGTCCCGGCGGTCATCCCGTATGGCGTCCCTGCGGTCATCCCGTATGGCGTCCCGGGGGTCATCCCACGTGGCGTCCCGGGGGTCATCCTGTATGGCGTCCCGGCGGTCATCCCGTATGGCGTCCCGGCGGTCATCCCGTATGGCGTCCCGGGGTCATCCCGTATGGCGTCCATCCGTATGGCGTCCTGGCGGTCATCCGGGCGTCCCGGGGTCATCCCGTATGGCGTCCCGGGGGTCATCGCGCGTGGCGTCCCGGGGGTCATCCCGTGTGGCGTCCCGGGGGTCATCCCGTGTGGCGTCCCGAGGGTCACCGGTGGGGCGTCCCGAGGGTCATCCTTGTAGTGCCCCGAGGGTCATCCTTGTAGTGCCCCAGGGGTCATCCATGCAGTGCCCCAGGGGTCATTATGTAGTGTCTCAGTGGTTATAATTATGGTAATAACTTTTCAATTTCTAATATGTACACAGTTGTACAAAGATTAGATTGTTATCATTGAGCAAATTTTCCTTTATTGTTTTTGAAATTTCAAAAAAAAGTATGAGACCTGCATTTTCGATTCATCTATTTCTGTAAACTTTTTGCCCTAGTTTGTAAGTAATGAAATATAAACAGTAGTATAGTGTACTGTACAGTACCTGTACTATAAATAGGTCAGATGTTATATATTTTCCTGTTTTAACAGTGGCAGAGGAAGCAGTCATCCCGAGTTATTCCCAGGTGACAGATGAGAAGATTCAAGCTGCTCTTACTGCTGATAAGGGCCCTGGTGCCAAGCTGGTGTCCTGGCAGGTCAAAGACTTCACCAAGAAGGGTGACAACTATGCCTGCATAGTGACAAGCGTTATTGTCCAGTACACACTGGAGGGCGCCCAACATGAAACTACATATGTTGCTAAAATCGGCCGTGATATGCAAGTGGCTTCTCTAAAGACGATGTTTAGACAAATGTTTGTTAGAGAAGGAAAGTGTCTTGGTGAAATACTTCCCAGGATAAATGAAGTAATGAGAAAAATAGGACGTCGTGAAATTTCGTAAGTTGAATTAAGTGATATATACTGTATAGGACGTTTAGTTTTTGTGTGGAATCGGTTATTTTGCAAAATGACCAGCAGACTGACATTATTAATGTGTGCTTTATTTAGACAAGTCTGCTTTTACTTTTATCCTCTTCACCACTGATCGGCTCGTTAGTCGTTTGGGCGATCGTTCACGTCTCTGTTACGCACTGTTGGCAAGTACTGGACCAAGCATTTTACAGTCCACTAGGAGACAGCGTGGCCAGTTTTGCACTCCACAACTTTCACTTTTATCATTACCGGCATGAACTACAGTGTTGAGCCAAAGACCTGAGGCAAGTGCTGTATTCAGTCACAATGTTTGTGTAAATTATTGTACGTATTGTAGTTCTTTTCTGATTGATCAGTTGTCATCATTTTGTCTGCACGTAGTACAGGTACAGTACATCTTCCCTAAGCTGCTATTTATCACTATTAGTTTCCATTTTTCGGCATATCATTCATGGTTAAAGTTTTGACAACTTCAGGAATAGCAATACCGTATAGACTAGCCTATAACTTCTAACTTTATTAACTCCCTGAGTGTGATGATAACACTGAAATTATGATACCAACCTCCTTGAGTAAGATAATAAGGCCATTGAATAAGATATTCTAACCCCAATAGTATTATGAGTTAATCCCTTTAGTGTGATTTCTGAAACCTTTGAATACAATGACCATTTCCTTTGTGTGAAACATTACTCTTATATTGTACTAATTGCATTATTATCGTCCTACTCAAAGCGTAAAGGTCAATATTAAGTTCTACTAAACTTTACAGAGTTGCCAAGTGTTTTCACTGCTGCTTGGATGAGGGCAAAGAAATATTGCTTATGGAGGACCTACGTGCCAGGAGCTTCAGGATGTTTGACAGACAACGAGGCATGGATGCTGCCCATGCCACTCTGGTGCTGCAAGAGTTAGGGAGGCTGCATGCTGCCTCCATACTCCTGGATAAAACACTTCCAAGTCACGACTTCACCAAGACCTGGACCTGTCTCACTGATGACTGGACAACAGATGATGAAAATAAAATGTTCAAGACCATGACTGACCACCAGCTAGATGGGGCAGCTATGATAATGAAAAAGGTAGGTGTAATTGATAAGTTTGTCATTATTTTTCTTTTTCATCTTTTTATACACACAAAAAATCGATAGTATAAACAAGGACCATTGAATACAAAGGATTAGAGACGTTAAAATTTATAATGATTGTGCAGCAATGTGGCTTTAGTGTTCACGGACTTTTGTAAGAATTTATAAACGAGAAACCAGCAAAGAAGGGAACAGAGAGGAGTATAGTATGTTTCTCTGGTGGTGGTGCAGTGGTAGTGTGCTTGCCTCTGACCACTGTGCTTGGAACGGATGTGAGAAGGGTAGTCTCCAATGGCACCTACCAAACATCACAGATTTTCTCTGGATATTCTGGTTTCCTTTGTATTAACGCTTGGCAAGGAATAAAAGCTCGCTGTAACTGTGGAGGAGTGAAACGGGCCTCTAGTATCCTTTCCCCACTAAACAAGATAAATAGAAATATTAATAATTACTTAATTACCACAATATTCCAGATCTAACGAGAGAGCTAGTTCAAAATCTTACTCCAAAGCATACTATAGTACTGTAATACTGAATAAAATATTATAAAGAAAGACTATATACAGGTATAGTTTAAGCGAGGAAGTCAGTTAAATAATAATAGCTTCAGTTCAGTTAATTTAAGACCAGGTTTGACCAACACTGACTAAGGTGCATTCTGGAACCAGTGCAGATCCAGTACTTCTCAACAGTACATGACTGACTGACCAAGTGGCTAACAGGTTGATCACCAGAGAAAAGGATAAAGTAAAGTAAGATATAATAGCATTATATTGTATGGCATCAATAGAGAGGATGGTTAGACAAATGAAGAGGAAACGATTTCTGTTGTAAGGTAGACCCGAGGCTGTTGGTGGTACTGATAGTGTGTGTTGGTGGTACTGATAGTGTGTGTTGGTGGTACTGATAGTGTGTGTTGGTGGTACTGATAGTGTGTGTTGGTGGTACTGATAGTGTGTGTTGGTGGTACTGATAGTGTGTGTTGGTGGTACTGATAGTGTGTGTTGGTGGTACTGATAGTGTGTGTTGGTGGAATGACTGATAGATTACTGAATGGTGATAGTGTGTACTGATAGTGCACAACGGTGGTACTGATAGTGCGTGTTGGTGGTAATCCAACTGTGCATTAACCGTGGGGAATATGTTCAAGTTAAAATAATGTATTGTAATGTAATAAGACTTTTAAAAAGTATCCTGAATTCAGATCCCAAACTATGAACGTGTGGTAAGATGGATCGAAGGCATCAAGGAGACTGCAGTAGACATTATGAAGCAGAGTTTCCGCAGTGAAGATGGTGAAGGAGTACTTCTTCATGGTGACTGCTGGAACAATAATGTGCTCTTCAGGTATGCCTTAGTTAATAAGTTTTCTGTGTACAGGTGCTGTAGTTATAAGACGAAGGTATTTTTAAGAGGTACTTCATCTGTTTATACAAAAATAAATAATCTTGTCTTGATATGGAGTTTTCTCTTCTCAGTGATATTTTATAGGTATTGTCCTAAACATGTATTCATATAATGACTTTGTTCAAAACTTGTGAATAGGTTTTACCTTGATAGGCACCCTCCTTCAGGTGGCTTTGAATACTGCACTACAGTCGCTAATTGTGTGTGACTGCTCAGCACACTGCACTGCATTCCTCTTACCACAGATAGTGAAAAGCATTACAAATATGCGTTAACAGGTTAACGAAAAAAGGTGAAAAATATTGTTTAAGAGTTAAAGCTGTAAAGACTAAAGTAATGTTTCTTTCCAAAGTAGAAATATATCTGAAAACAAAACTTATGGGAGGCAACAGGGAGCTTAATGTGTATATGGGAAGTAACACTAGCTGTGATGGTAGATGTGTGGAAGAAATAAAAACAAGAATAGGGTTAGCAAAAACACCATTTAATAATCTAAAAGACTTAATGAAAATAGTAAGAATAAGCTACACGAACAGGAAAACAAATGAAGAAGTACAAAGATTAGCATAAACTTCAAGATAAATGCTTGAAATAAGGGTAACTATACATTGCAGGTACGATGAAGCTGGGGTTCCTGTAGAAGTAATGTTGGTGGATCTACAAGCTATGCGTAAAGCCTCACCTGCTGTGGATCTCAACTATTTCTTATACTCAAGTTTTAATGGACCTGACCGTATTCAGAACAAAGAGATGTTCTTGAAGGCATATTATGACTCGTTCACCAGTGTTCTGAAGACTGAGGATGTTTCTGTGCCCTTCACTCCTGAAGAGCTTCAACAAAAACTCCAGGATCATATGATATATGGAGCTCTGGTTTCGATGTTTCTTGTGCCTATGGTATTAAGTGAAGCCGAAGACGTGCCAGATTTGGATAGCATAACAGATATGGACAAGTTCTCTGAAGGACAGAAGGACGTTTTGATAAAAATGAGTGAAAGAAATGATAGTCTCCTTAAACTAAGGTTTTTAGACATGTTTGATGAAATGATAGAAGCAGGAATTATATCATAGTTTGTGAACAGTATATTTTGAAAGGTGATTATCTAACTAATATAACTCACTTATTTCATGCACAGAATCTTTAAGCCTTTTTATACGAGGTTACTGAAAATATAATTATATTTTTGTAAAACCCCGATAAATCGGACTTCAATACATCAGAATTCACTTGTTTCGAACTCTAATGTGGTTTGGTCACCAGAAATACAAAAAAATCCATGTTTTAAGAAATGGGAAAGATTAATAAAATTTTATGAAATGAACAACACTTACTGAATACTGTACAGTGGTCTAATCAGATGTGCTATAGGCCTACTGAGAACTAAGACACTTGAGTATGTAAACAGGCTGGGGCTGATCAGGTGGTGCCACATTCATCAGGTTTATTTATTTATTGATTCAGTATTATTATTCTCATATGATTGGCCTCTTATGGTTTATGGTTCATCATGATTAATATAACATCTTTAGTATTAGAGAAAAAATAAAATTCTGTATGTAATTTGTAATATGACTTGAAAATAAAAGAATAAGCTGTATCAGAAGGTTATTTACTGAAGATGCATTCATGTGAGAGCTTTCAGCAGACTAGCTTACAACAGGGATCACTATAACACACTGTATAGTATTGATATAAAGATACCTTCCTAAAAACGTTATTTACTACCTTTGAGTGTAATATGATGGCTCAATTAGGCTACTTGTACACTTAGACAAATGGTTATGAATAAACCAGGGTATATGCAGATACAAAACACTGTACACTACAACATTACTTATTAAGTGATGATAAATACACAATAGTATTTATTAAATAGTGATAAATACACGACTGGACGTACTGTACTAATTTACTGAGTGTTGAAGATAGACATTGTGGTAGGCCAATCAGCTGTTTGCTCTAACATATGACTCATTTCAGTGTAGGATTCTTTTTTCAGGAAAGCCAATTCTTTTACGATAATATTTTATCAACCTGGCACCAAATGATTGCATAAAGAAGTGTTAAAGGAAGCTTGAGGGAGGGAGTACCCACCCGTGCCAGCTGCTCCCAGATAAACACTCGTCTTCCACATACAATATACTGTACACCTACACTTATTTGTTCTTACTTTAGTCTTTATAGTACTGTGCAGTATAGATTATTCTCTTCATTCATAAGACAATTTCTGTGGTTACTTACATATAACACTTTACAGTATATAACAATCATCTCGGTGGCAACCAGACTTACAGTATGTCTGATTTTCAACCCAGAGTTTTCTGTTTCATTTTTTTCATTGATGATGATGTAATATTCTTTTAATCACCTTGTTATACACTGAAAGACCTTAGTGGCTGAAGTGCAGTAAAAACATAACATCAACTGATTTTTTTTAAGCAGCTCAGATAAGCAGTGTTATATCCAACTCTCCCTCCCATATACAGTATTCGCTTTTTTCGGACTTTCGCATTATTCAGACGGGTCTGCCCCAATTAGTCAGATTTATCGAGGTTCTACTGTACTTTTTTCTTTGATTATATAACCTGTTTGTCCTATATTAAAAGCAAACTAACTATTTTGATAAACGAGACTTCATTACACAGTCTGGGTTTGAAAGATGATGTAATGCGCAATTTCTGAAATTTCCTAGAATACTTTTCCATTACCAGAAAATGTCAGAAAATTCCGGGGAGGGATTTTTTCCAGTTTTGAGTCATCTCGTTACTCGGAAATCTCTCATTCCTAGAAGTGCTCTGCACCATATATATATATATATATATATATATATATATATATATATATATATATATATATATATATATATATATATATATATATATAATATATATAGATATATATATATATATATATATATATATATATATATATATATATATATATATATATTAGTTTTTTTCAATGCTATATTATTTAATTTGACAAAACTTCATTATGTATCTTATGTTAAGTTGAGAGAGAGAATAGCAGATATTCAGTGCAAAATAAATGAATTGAATAAAAGAAAATTTGTCTTAATTACACCTTAAGACGATAAAGTTGTTTAAAAAAATTGACTTTACAATAGAGTAGTACAGCAGCAGGTCTTAACACCTTGAGTGGGATGATATAAAAGTACAATGTGTCTCACAAAGAAAGTGGTCATTGTATATAAAGGTTTCAGACATCATACTAAAGGAATTACAACCCTTCAGACAAAGCACAATAGGACAGACCTCATTGAAACAATCAAAACTCTGCAAGAGATGGAAACGTGAACCCGAGCCATTTGTTTGTGATATCACGCACCACCAAACGAAAGAACATAATAACATGCTCGCCAAATTACTATACAGAATGAAAATAAGGAATCCTGGCTCAGCTACCTGATGTTTCTTCTCTCCCTACACTACCCAGGATATACACGTTCCTCTACCGCTGCCTCCTTCACCTGTGAGGTAAGATTCATCCCGTCTATTGAGCTGTATTTCAGATACTATGAAGGTCTGTCACTTCTCCCATGCAGAGTCAGCACACACACCTGCCCCTCCAGTCCCACCCAACAACAAGCAATATCCTATTATCCTTATCTACAGGCGTCAAGTCCACACTTACTGTCAGCTTACAATAATTCACTGCTACAAAATCATAATAAATTGATTCGGATGATCTCATTCCATTTAACCCGTCATTACTGCATAGTTACTGTCAGTTGTTTCTTCACATCCAGTAGTGCACCTGCTAATAAAATTAACCCGGTGACACATCTTCACGGCCCCATGGCTCAATAATTCTGTCAGCCTGATTATATACTCCCATACGCGTCCAACAATTCAGCTTTATTAACAACAAATCTGGCATTAGTTTACCAACACTGTGAAGCCCCAGAGTTCAATCCGTGGCACAGCTCTTCACCCACGAAGCAGAATTACTCGGATGGTATTCCTGTAAGTAACTTCACTGTGGGATCAATACACACAGTCAAGCACGACCAGCATACACACCCACCCTCTGTTTGACGTGTTCCCAGCCAGGTGATGGCCTACCTGGAGGTCACGTAACCTCCCGCATCGCCACAACAGCCCTCCCTCCCCGGCTTCCTGACAGCAGAGAACTTATCCACATATAAGTGTTAAAAGTGTACGAGCTGACACTTGTAAATATGTACAATATATACTTATAAACGCCCAGTAATAAAAATATAAACATTAAAGTATAAATTGGATCACAAGCACACTTCACTGTGATCCAACACTGATAACATCCGCACTTTTGTTTATATTAATTATGGATTTATGGGACCACATTTCTTGATCTTGTCTTGACTATTCTAAGATCGTGGTGAACACTTTCATGTTTGTGTCTTACTTCAGTACGTGTCCTAGTAAGGGTAAGGCATTGTCTGCTACCTGTGACCAATAATGCACTTGTAACAACCTATTTTGTACCTAATAAAAACAGAAAAACAGTTATCATTTAGTTTCCTAAAAGACGTGGAAGTACGTATTGAGACCCTTAACAAATTTCCCACACTTAAAACAATGTTGGACATATTTCAGGGAGGAAGAGAAATCAGGCGAGGAAGCATCAAACTTGCCGCGTGACAGGTGTGTTTGAGGTACGCATGCGCTGGGTGGTACCTCGCCGACGCAACTTCCGGATTCCACCCAGGCCAGACCCTCGCTGAAACATTGAAGTGTCAGACCTCGCGACGCTCGCGCTCAGCTCGCTCTTCTGCGTGTGATAATTAAGCTAGAATCGGCCTCCCCTTCCCCCACCAAGGAAAACCATGTCTTCAGCACCAGAAGAAGGTAAGTAAAGGAAATAAGGTAGTTGTAGAAACGCGAACACATCGGAAAACAAAATACTTGGAATAAACTTACTAACGAAAGGTCGTGATATTTTTGGGGGGATCTGTTCGTGAACCTGGAGATAAAACCTGACGTAACCTGATAAATTGGTAAAATCCTCTTAAACAAAATAAAACAAGGGAGAAATATTAGGGTAGCGAATAAAAACAATACATAAAAGGAAATGGTGGAAAAAATATAAGAGTTTGCAATATACCTGTGGCTCGGGCGACAAACTTGACGAGATCGATGACCAGGCGGGTATTGTCTTAAAGAGAAACTGGTATTTAAGAGAGAGAAATATAAGCTAAAACCAGAAGAAAAAAATATTTACTAAAATCAAAGCGTAAGGATTTAATATAATTTACTACTGTGCCGTGACTCATTCCAAGCTATCTGACTAGCTGTCTAACGATCCAACTGCTATGGGTGAGTCATTTAAGACGAAGACGCTTCATGTCGTATCCTTTATTTCTGAGAATAACTAGAAAGATAAATTGTGACTAGTGGGGAAAAAGTATCGGAGATTTCGTGAATTATCATGGAAGTGGAAATGACTGGTCCCGTAGACTATTGCCTCGCGCTTATCCAAAAAATTTGTTAGGGAGAGAAACGAAGATTTAATTAAGTTTCTTAAAGGATCTGTGCTGGAGAATTCCTTAAAGTCAATAGTTTGTATCGTAGCAGTAAGAATCAAGCTTTATCGTGTTCTCAGGTACAGTGGAATACAAAATGTGGAGAAAAACAAAATCTGTAGCTTACGAGAAACTTTACACAGGGTAAGAGAAACTTCTGTAAATATGAATAGGCTACATTTGTTCTTCAAGGGCGTTACAACTCAAAACTTTTCAAAGCTTTTGTCGTTTCATTACTCTGTTTTCTAACCTTATCGTTACTTACTGTTACATGCAAAAACTCCCATCGACCATCTATAAAAATACGGTATATTGAAGGAAGTGTCGCTGCGGAGGAAGTCACGGCTAGGCTATAGACCGTATTCTGAACTAGTTTTGTAAGGCAGATGTGAAATATTGTACCACTAAAAACAGTCGTCACTTTCTCTGATAAAAATCGATTATTAGGGTAATTGTATATTATATAGATTGTACATATAATAGACACATTATAGGCATTATATATTTTATAAAAGATGTTATCTATATAGTTGCCGCCACTATATCTGAATTGATAGTTATTTGCATATTTTACACACGCTAAATACTTCAATTATTACGTCATACGGGACTCACGTTATTATAATCATTAAAATAGAATTATCAACCACGTGACATTGTATTTGTGCTAATAATCACGTTTAATCACATTTCACCATAGGTTATCACATACCAAAGTTATGATACAGTTATCACATACCAAGGTTATGACACAGTTATCACATACTAGGGTTATGATACATAGTTATCACATACAAAGGTTATGACACAATTATCACATACCAGGATTATGGCACCTTAGTTATCACATACCAAGGTTATGACACATTTATCACATACCCGGGTTATGACACATAGTTATCACATACCAAGGTTATGACAGTTATCACATACCAGGATTATGACACCATAGTTATCACACACACACACACACACACACACACACACACAGAAAACGTCGATAGTCAGAAGGGTAACAATTATAAAATGTAGGTCAGGAACCCAACCTCATTTTAGCTTACCAACTTCCATCATAACTTCCAAAATAATCAAGACACATAAACAAAGTACAGACTGACCTTTGTACTTGACGTCCTTTAATATTTAGACACCTGGGAGTAGGTTCGTTAGGCCTGATGGTGGTCCGTGGGGAGGGATCGAACCGGTGGACGTGGGTTTAGGAGGCGAGTGATGTGTCCGTCTGCTCTACTCCTGTTGTTAATAATAATGAATGTAATATATCGTCTGTCTGTTTGTCTGTCTCTCGTACATATAAACGTAAGTAAGAGTTATCAACCATGTCAAGAACTGTTGGTAAACCTGTGGGTGGAAAGGCGCGTGACCCCCCTCCCCCCCTCCCCCCCACACACACTATGTACAGTAACTAAGGGCGTAAGGGTGTGGTGAGATGAGGGGAGGGTGAGAGGGAGGGATAATAAGGGGGGGGGAGGAGGGAGAGTGGGGTGGACAGTTAGGGAGGGAGGGAGGCGTAAGGGTGTAGTGAGGGAGGGTTAGGAGGAAGGAAGAGAGGGAAGGGGTAGGGGTGATCACGTGAAGTAGCGCTGATTATAAAGGTTAATTAGGTAACACCATCACGCCACTATCCTCCCCACCACTACCCCTCCCCACCACGCCACTACCCTCCCCACCACGCCACTACCCCTCCTCTCCACGCCACTACTCCCTCCCCACCACGCCACTACCCTCCCACCAAGCCACTACCCCTACCACGCCACTACCCCTCCCCACCACGCCACTACCCCTCCCACCACGCCACAACCCCTCCCACCACGCCACTACCCCTCCCCACCACGCCACTATCCCTCCCCACCACGCCTGCCCCCTCCACTACCCCTCCCCACCACGCCACTACCCCTCCCCACCACGCCACTATCCCTCCCACTACACCACTACCCTTCCCACCACCTCCCCACCACGCCACTACCCTCCCACTGCACGCCCTCCCCACCACTCCCCCTCCCACGCCACTACCCCTCCCACTACACCACTACCCCTCCCACCACTACCCCTCCCCCACCACGCCACTACCCCTCCCTCCACGCCACTACCCCTCCCACTACACCACTTACAAACATCGACGACCTTCCCCTTCCCTCCATCCCTTCCTTCCTCCCCTGACCCCTTCTTAAATGGATACACTGTCCCCACCCTATACACCTCCCGCCCCCCTACCCCTACACACACGCACACACACACACACACACACACACACGCACACACGCACACACACACACACACACACACAATGGCCTTGTGTAGACAAAATTATTACTTGTACTTATTATTATCTCTCTCTCTCTCTCTCTCTCTCTCTCTCTCTCTCTCTCTCTCTCTCTCTCAACACAAGGCTTAAGAATTATAGTATATAAATAAAAATATAATCATTAAACATGTATCTTATTAAACACTTTCCACAAACCAATACACTATGGTAGGGTAAACGTCACATTACCATAGTCACCCTGGAAGATTATCTCATATCATCGTTTTCTTTAACCGCTGAAATATCTTTTAGTGTTATTATTGCCCGAGCGGTTACCATGACGATACTTGGTCAATCTTTCCAATAGTTTAATGCAAATCTATAAACTTGTTTCTGAGTGGGGTTTTTTTTAAGAAACACACACACACACACACACACACACACACACACACACACACACACACACAGAAACAGGGTAACACACACATCCAGACAGACGGCAGACAAACAGACACACATCCAGACAGACAGATAAACAGACGGGACCTCATAGTTGCGGGAATGATATAATTAATCTTTTATTTACGTTATAACTCAGGTAAGATTCTCAGGCGTTCACCACCATCGTACTTGGCTGACTCACACAAACTATCCCACTAAGATAGGTTCTGAAAATGTCGCAATTTGTTTGTGTTTTCTCTCACTGGGAAGGTAAAACGTATATGTAATGTGGCTGAAATTAGATATAGTCCATTTAAATAAGTTCTGACATTATAAAGCGGAACATTTTAACGTAGGAGCTTTTGTGAAATCAATAAATCGTAACTTAAGAGAAAAAATTGACGTAGGAGCCTTTGTGAATTCATCAACAAATCGTAGCTTGTCAATCATTTAAGAGAAAAATAAAATGACGTAGGAACCTTTATGAATGCAGAGTGTTGCGTGAGAATTACCTCAGTGGATAACGTGACGAGACACATTAGTGGGTGTGTTCAGCGGAAACAAACAAAAGTATGGGTGTGTTCTGACCCTGAAATGAAAATTGGGTCTTCTTAATTTGTGAAATGGAGTAGCCCCCCCCCCGCCCCCCTCTCTCTCATTAGCTAATTGGCAGATCATGTTTCCCTCTCCATTAACCCCCGCTTGCTCCCCCATCCCCCCTCCCGCTCCGCCCTTCCCCTCCCCCCACCCACAACACCGATATGGAGGGTAAGAGGGAATGGCAGGTGAAGAGAGAGGAAGAGAGAGTTAGAGGATATGAGAGGTAAAGAAAGAGATGACAATACGGTAACAGAGGCAGGCAGGGAGTCATAATTGGCCATCATTATGACCAATTATTGATTATTATAACTGCAGAGTAATTATACACTGTATACACACAGACTTGTGTACACACACACTCTTGTGTACACACTTATGAATACATACACACACTTGTGTACACACACATGTACACAAACACACACACGCAGATACACAGAAATAGACACACACAGACATACAGACATACTGACACACACACACACACGCACATACAGACATACTGACACACACACACACACACACACACACACACACACACACACACACACAGACTAGTGACTTTGCCTGAGGGTCGTGCTGGACTTAATGGTTTAACTGTTCTCCAGGGGTCAACAGCCATCCTCCCTCCCTCCTTCGTTAAGCCTCGGTCGTTAACTATTGTTATTGGTCGTTGCCCATTATTAATTATCGTTTATTGTCGTCAGGCATAGTTCAGTGCCGTTAGGCATGGTTCAGTGTCGTTAATCATATTTCAGTGTCGTTAAGCATAGTTCATTGTCGTTAGTCATAGTTCAGTGTCGTTAAGCATAGTTCATTGTCGTTAGTCATAGTTCAGTGTCGTTAATCAAACACTTATAATAGTCAGGCCACTTATATTGGTCAGATCACTTATAGCAGTAATTATGTGGTCATTACAGCTTAATTACTACCGTGATGATTATAATCCCTACTGTATTATAATTACAATCAATAAGAAGACAAACTAAAGTATTTAATTTACATCTGAGTTCATTTAATAATAATAATAATAATAATAATAATAATAATAATATAATGATTATGATGAAGATTGAGGAGAGACAGACAGTAGTTAGGGACACCACATCACAAGCTAAGAGGAAAAAGCACCAGATAGCTTTTAGTTAAGTGCCTATTAAGTAAATTTTATCGATCCGCTTATTATTTTTGGTTGAGTAAAAGTTAACCACTCACTCATTTACTCAGCAACCCTCAATGTGCGTTCAGCTAGCCATCCGATATACTACTTAATTATTATTATTATTATTTTAAGTGAAGCGTATGATAAATTGGGGTATTGAAAGTGAATATTGATTTGTGATTTTTAAATTCCTGTTTGCCGCCATGCTAGCCAGTAATTATATTCTCTCTGTCACTCATCATTATCATTATTATTTATGTTAATTTCAACTCATATATTCTCTCTGATAACATATTATTAACCAACGTTATTCTCTCTTTAAGTGTAATAATCTTGCGAGGTAATAATTTTTATAAACAAGGGATATTTTATGGTAATATAACTAAAAACTCGCTATAACAGTCCACTTTGTTATGTTATTTCGTCATCACAGTATGAAATATTTTGATGATGACTTTCCTATAATTTCTCCTCGTTTCCTTTGTATATTGGGTCCGTGTTTGTTTGTTATCAATTTCTAGTAGGATAGAACACATAAGCTCAAGTATGGATTAGTTTGTGTTAGGATAAGTTTGATTGAAATAGGATAGACTAGTTTGCGGTTTGGATAGGTTAACTTGAGTTACAATTTGACTAACTAAAACTAGTACGGCCATAAATTAGTAATGACCACGTGTTCGCCACCACAGGCAGGTGTACACTGGCCCTCAACCCTACAATTATTCTAACCTCAGGCAATGGGGTGCGAGGGGGAAGGAGAGGAAGATGTCACACCGGAATATATCACCAAAATGTCATATTCGTTACAATAATCAATCCTAAACAAGTTATGAGAAGCATTGAAATCACAATACACTAAATATTTAAATTTGTGGGAAAATAAGCATTAAAGAAGATATTTTAGTAAATTATTACCAAAACAATAAAAAACAGTAACTGGCAACTATTATATCATGGCAGGTAAGCGGAAACTGAGCCAAATGTCATTGTATCGTTGGCCATCGTGGGGTGCAGGCCACGGAGGCTCTCCTTCATACAGTGATCATTACCGTGACGTCAGAACTCGCTCTAAATATAAACAAACTGCTGGAGACAGGAAGAAAACCACCTTTTTTACGGAATAATAAGTGTATCGACTTGGTAAAATTAAAAAAAATATTCTACATTGATAAGCCAGTTATCTATTTAGAGCAATGGTTTTGTAAGAGCTGTGTGGTGGCAGTGAGAGCAACATTATACCCAAAACCCAGTTAAATATAAGTGGTTTATCCATGAAAATAATTACTATACTGTTTCGAAAAGACACTTAATACTTTGATTTTTTTTTGGTGAAACTTTATATTGTAAATAAAAATCTGTATACTCTTGAAAACAAAAAGTATATGAGTTTTCGTTTTTTTAAGGCAAGTATATTATCTAGGGTTCAGACATTAATCTCTCATAACCTAACCTAACCCACAACGCACACCATCCTAACTTAGTCAAATTCTATCTAACCAAATTCTACCTAACCTAAACCCATTTTAAGCTAACTTAACCTAATACAACCTAACATAACTTTCCCTAACATAGAATAATTACCCTAACTTCTTTAACTTAATGTGACCTAAGTTAATTTGACATAACTTAACCTATCCTATGTATAACGCTTGTCCGTCTCTTTGGCTGTCTGTCTGTCTGTCTGTATCTGTCTATATCTGTATATGTCTGTCTATACACGTTAATCCATTTATCTTGAATATAATAGTTTTATGCCTTATCTTTCAATATAGTCATCTATCTAATTTCCTGTGAAGTAACATATGTCTATTATCTATCGTGAGCAGTTTAACATGAGTACGATGACTTAACCCCTTGAGTACGATAATTTAACCCCTTGAGTACGATAATTAACCCCTTGAGTACGATAATTAACCCCTTGAATACAACTTAACCACTTGAGTACGATGATTTAACCCCTAGAGTACGATGACTTAACCCCTTGAGTACGATGACTTAACCACTTGAGTACGATGACTTAATCCCTTGAGTACGATGACTTAACCACTTGAGTACGATGACTTATCCCCTTGAGTACGATGACTTAACCCCTAGAATACGATGACTTAACCCCTTGAGTACGACTTAACCCCTTGAGTACGATGACTTAACTTGAGTACGATGGATGAGAGTACGATGACAACCCCTTGAGTACGATGACAGCGATGACTGAGGATGACGAGTGATGATGAGTACGATGACGCGATGACACCCCCCGATGACGCGATGACTTAACCCCTTGAGTACGATGACTTAACCCCTTGAGTACGATGACTTAACCCCTTGAGTACGATGACTTAACCCCTTGAAGGAAAAACCATGTAGTGTTGATCTATGTAGTTGTATTAATTGTGTATATTGATCGTAGTGTTTTATTACTGTGTCTTAGAGAAACTATATCACACGGTAGAATTCATCTGGACAAAATCCCTTCCAACGAAATCAGGCAATATGTATGTATGTATGTATGTACGTTGGTATTAACTGCGTGTACTTGACTGTGTGTTAATGTATCTATCCATGATTGTATATGATGTGCACATGTGTATGTAAACTGTTCCCATGAGTTGGTATGTAAGCAGGATGTGTGCATATGAGGTTGTGCGTACGTAGTGTGTACACACAAGGAAACATGTACGTAGTGTATACATCAGGTGGTGTGTATATTGACTGTGCAAATATGAAGTGATGTTCACACGAGTTAGCGTGTGTATGTAGACATAATGTGCACCCAGACTATATCCACATCAGGTAGTGTGCACATAGACTGTGTAAACATGACATGTTGTAGTGTGTACGTAGACTATAAACATGAGTTGAGGTGTACGTAGACTGTTTACACATGAGGTAGTGTGTACATAGATTGTGTACACATGAGGTAGTGTGTACATAGATTGTGTACACATGAGGTAGTGTGTACACAAACTATGCATATACGAGGTGTGTTCACGTAGACACAAGTAGGTGACGCAGCTCCCGCACTACACAGGGTCGTAGTGTAGGTAGAAATGGGGTGTGGTACGTCCCAGGCTGTACAGGTGATCGAGGAGGACCCCGCCAAGACTCCCACCACGCTGGAAGCTACTGACGAACTGACCAGCGTGCGATCCAACACCCCTGACCTGAATTCCAAGCCCGTGGACCCGCCCTCAGCGCCCCCCATCCTATCAAACGGCACGGAGTCCTCTGGCCCACCAATAGAAGAGAACCTGCCACAGACACCCGTGGAAGAGACTCCGCCCCAGTCAGGTAATATAATTCACACAACACATCTTTGGTCTTGGAAGTACCACACCCAATCACTCTTAACACTTGGCCCTGTGATGTGATAGCACTTGATAGCACCGACTTAGCTCACTCACTACCCGTAATGCCTTGCTATCACCTCAGAATGCCGATGTGCTATGCGCTGCTCACCTGTTCGTAGTCCAACATATTTTAGATATTATTTTTTTGTTCTGATTATTGCAAAATGTTGTATGTCCTGCTTAAAAATTATGCATTAATTTTGTTTCTTAGTGACGTTGAAGTATGATGTATATGTCAACAGTGAAGGAATATACTATTTTACGTATATATATTTTGAGTGTATGTGACCCTTTAAAGAAATAACATCAATGACAATCAACCAGTGGAAATACACCTTTTTTTATTAATTAAATTAATTTATATTTTTGTCTGCAAATTCACCTACTTAATCTGGTCCCCGGTTGTTATACACACATACAGATAACAGGTATGGATTTGTGGAACGACGACATCTGATTGGCTAATTTGCTAGCCAGTGAAAAGAATCAGAGGTCAAAACAAACTTTAATTTTTGAACGTTGCTATTAACCCAGGCAGTTGAAGTCCTTAAAACAGTGGTAAATGTGACAGACGCGATACAAACCAAAAATGTTATGCATTTGGGCGCGAATAACAAGTGCCAATCTTTGTTTACAATCACCGAAGTGTGAGGGACTACGGCAGTAAATCATTTATAGAAGATGAAACGAACCAAAATTAACCAAATTAACCTAATCTAACCAAAACTAACGGTCTCAAATTATATTCCTAATAAAATCAGGTTATTTACGTTAGTTCGATGTGTTTAACTTTCATAATTTAAACCAGTTAGGTGAATTATCACACTCATCCATCGAACGAACCTTAACAAAAATGTACTCTGAAGAAATAAAGTAATATATAGGTTAGATTATGTAAGTACAATATGTGGGTGAGCATGTGTACTGTTACGGTGGAGTATGGCTTGGTATATATATATAATCATGATCATCAGCATGCATAAATATAATGCTAGCGTAGCCTAATGATGCATGATTAAAAACGACTGAAAATAATAATAATTAAATTCCTAAAATACTCCAGAGCTTTTATATGTTTCCTAGTTATACATAAATTAATAAATAATATTGATCTATCTTTTGCAATATATTTTGCACACACACACATATATATATATATATATATATATATATATATATATATGTGTGTGTGTGTGTGTGTATTTTAACTTAATAATTTGTTATTAGTACATAAGAAAGGAAATGTTAGTGTAGTGTTATTGTGGTAAATATCGAATAGGCCAAAAGTGTTGTTGACAAGTTCCAATATATCATAACACTATGGATATCTAATTATGCTCTACATGTTTTCTATATAAAGGAGATATATGATGAGTTCTATAGTGTCATTAATAGACATTACTAAGTTTTGCTACTGTAAATATAATGTGTTTGTGTAGCCTGATTTTTTCTGCAAGCATAATTTTCTTACTGTAAATATAATGTGTTTGTGTAGCCTGATTTTTTCTGCAAGCATAATTTTCTTATACGTGTTATATGAGCCAAATAATTGTATTTCTTTTTCGTAATAAATATCTATATTTTGTTGCAACATTACGTTAGATTGTCATACCAAGGCGGAAGAACACCGTTAAGCAAGACATTCTGGCACTAACGTCTTTTGTGACCTTACGTTTAAGGCCCAATAGTTCCAAGAACCTCGGTGAGCCTGTCTGCGTGTCTGATAATCACAGAGTTATCAGCGGTAATGGATAAATCCTCACATCCAGTATATACAACTCACACGCATAATGATGATTGTCTCCCGGGTGTTACGTGCACAATCTGTCACCCAGAGCTCGGATAAGAACATTTATATGGATATTTCAATTATCTTGGATATATTTTCTCTACGACAATATATATATCTCAGTATTTTCCGATAAACAGACGAAGAAACTCGATTGTATTATTACTGTACTAGACTTCCACGAATTTGTTCAGCAGTGGGTGCACAACACTGCTAAATGACTCTGGAACAAAGCACTTCTCAGTATACACCCATGAATAAAAGATAAGAAGGTTCGGGTGTGTCTGGAACAAGCCATTGGTAGTTACAAGGAAAGAGTTAGCTAATTAAACTACCGCTTTCCCTTGTTCGTGAGCCGTGATGTCACCACCCAGACGCTGTTAAGTTTATGAGAAGTTGTAATTTTGTGTTGCGTTTACCTCCAGTGCTGCTGATGAAATAAGAAAATTCGTGATGCCAGAGCTGTTGTTACCTAGCAGTTAATTTACTCGTGCGTGCCGTGACTGCTTACTGGGTGAATTACAGACCAGGGGAGTGTGTTGTAATGACAGAATGTGGCAGGTTGGGAGAAAAATTGTCAAAGAAAACTGGACATTAAGAGGGTGGACTTAGAGGAATACAACTAATTATATTCATCATAAAATATTCATAATTTGCTATCAATTAGTTATATATGTGTGAGAAATAAAGACGATTCACCAAATAATGCGAGGAAAAAAAAAAATATTACATCATAGAAAACTAACATGATCCGAAGACAACAGGGTAAACTTAACAATCTATCAGTCAATGGAAGGAATAGTCGCTATGGACATAATCTTTCTCCGCTTGTAATCGTAAATATTAGTGAATCGGAGACATACAAATGATTTACTATCTAGAGATTACAAGTATCTGAAGTAATTGATTAGAGTGTTATATCCTCATTCTCAATCACTCTGAAATTCATTATATCGCCAAACAATGATACTGAATACATACAAACCATTATACCACCAAAGTCAATTATCTAACTAACAAGTATAGTTAGATCGACCAAAAATAAAACGACAATTATCCCCAACAGATAACGAGGAAGATATTGATTAATATATTCAAACATGGAGCGCGTCCCCAACCAGCCAGTGTCTGCCGCCAGGGGGTGTCTGTCGTGTGGTCCTTAGGCGGTCTGCTTGTGTTCATGCGTTGCTAAGTTAATACAATTCGTTCATGCGTAGTGAGCTTGTAAATTCTGTGTTTTTATATTATGCATTAGTGAGAGTTAAATGCGTTCATGCGAGAAAGGAATGCGTCGCGTAGTATGGGTGTTTCTACTGCTTCGTTTAATGGAGTCTACTCAATATGTATTCATGCGTTATTCACGTCCACGATATATTAACCACACACACACACACACAAAGGCGTCCTTACGTAATATATACATACGATCGATGATGATAATATATAGCGTGTATATATACAGTATATGTAAGTTTGTACATATGTAAACCTTTCCATAAATATATGAACTCAAATACAAGCCCACATATATTGTACACACACACACACACACACACACACACACACACACACACACACACACACGCGCGCGCGCGCGCGCGCACATGCATGAGGGTGTGCTTGTATGCATGTGTGACTCACCACCCACACATCTGCTCTTCTCAGAAACGGAAATCGATAACATGACCTGGACAGCTCACTAACACTGCCTCATGTTACCGCTAGACACAAAAAATTACACAGGTATTTCTTAACGTCAACGTCTTATCTCGAAGAATATTAAGTTAATTTGTTTTGTTTTTTATTCCGTAAATATAAATAAATGGAATGTGATTTTGCCCAGACGGATTTGGAGTTGAGAAATATCATCCACTGGGATTTCCGATGACCAATCACAACAAACATTAAAATCATCTCCACTAAAACTCTTGTTCCCTGAAACTGTAACAGACCTCAGGGACAAATGCTCACCAAGGGATGTGTTGTGCATGCGTTTCTCCAAGGCGTTTGAGAGTCCCACATACACGACTAGCCTCTAAGATCCAGGCACATGGCATAACAGACAAGATTTTGACGTGGATTAACAACTGGCAACAAGCAACAAATAGCAATAATAAATGGAGTATATTTTGAATGGAAAAAGGTTCTCAGTGGAGTACTACAAGACTATAATATATCCTGGGACCCACCCTATTTGTGATCTACCTAAACGACATAGATTAAAACATATCCAACTACAGTCATAAACACTGGTTTCAAGTCGGATTATTTGCAACTTATTTTAAATTCTACAGCCATTCAAAGTGCTTAGAGAGACATTATACAATTTTGCAATAATGATAAATACAACACAATGGTGTATAGCTTAATACAATACGATCATTCACCAATAAATTACAAACTATACACTTGAATAAAATATCTACATAAATTTTAGTTTCATTAAAGAGTTAAGAGTGTCTTGAAGTACAACAATCAGTAGTAAGTTCAACTGGTTATACCTGCTCTTAATAAAAGGACATCGAGGGCAGACTATCAGGTAATAATATTGTGCCAGTCTCAGATCGGTCCGATGACTGAGCAAACACTGTGGGTTGATTTGTCCTTCATAACACAACTAAACACCATTACTCTCTCTTCTCCTATTGACTATTCTGATAACTTTTTTTTTCTGCACCTTGTACACTCTCCCCTCCCCTTCTGAGCCACCCACAAGCTGACCGAGACGGGGTAAGGCTACATTTGTTCCTACTCCACCTGAGTCTTCAACACGTTTGCTGATGACATTTCACAATCTGTTTATCTTGACTTTGAGCTCTTTGTCCCTCATTCTATACTACGAAAAAAAAATTCGGTTTGGTTTAAATTTGGCACAATCCATAAGTGGCATGGCATTAATTTTAGCCCCTGAGGTTCCAAAAATATCACCACACCAACTTTGAACCTCTAGTATAATCATCCCTGAATTGTGAATCTTTGCCTTTCTTATCCACGGTGCACTATACAACCTTTACTTGAGTAAGGGTCGGTTGTGTTAGCCATCAAAGAATACGCTGTTATGATCACCTCCATTCTCCACCACAAAATGTAAAAGAAATAATAGCGAACGACGTCTTTGATTGGCTGATAAAATAAGACATGATAAAAGAAAT